TCCAAATTTTCTAAATATGAGCGGGCGGGTGGCCGTGACAGCCGGCTGGCTGTCGACGTGTCTTTACGTACACCGTCTTCTTCGGGCGTTGTGTGCGGAGTGCACGGACTTTATCGATGCGTTTTAATTCCATATATTTCAATAAATCTATAACCTTTGGCATGTAGCTAGTATCAACATTAACTGTTGTTTGACATTTTGCGATGCCCGCTGACTACCGAAGTTTTTAGCGAAACCGATGTGCTCGGGCGGAATGTACAGAGTGCACGAACGTAATCTATGCGTATTTAATTCCATATATTTCAATAAATCTATAACCTTTGGCATGTTGCTAGTATCAACATTAACTGTTGATTGACATTTTGCTATGCCCGCTGACTACCGAAGTTTTTAGCGTAAACCGATGTGCTCGGGCGGAGTGTACAGAGTGCATGGACGTGGAAATTGTATTTCGTATAAACGTTAACGCATTGTTGGCGAGACGATTCTTTAATCTTACAATGGTGCGTACCTTGTTGGTTTGGTCTACGCTTCGGCCACCTGACCGCTCCCCCGTGAGATTTATCTCACGGGGAATTTTTATAAATTCCGTATCGCCGTACCACTACGCGGCGACATGGGTTTTTTTCGGCATGACACTTGGCAGCCGCGTGGCCCGACGCACCGGCCGTCGTAATTTTTTTTCAAGTCCGCGTCGCCGTACCACTACGCACAGACATTGAAATATATTTGTAAAATTTAAATTTGAATTGGGGCAGTACTCGGGAAATATAACCAGTCTCGGATGGCGACTATTAGGTCCAATCCCGCTACGACTTTTTTAAAATAATTAATTTTATTTTTGGAGTACCACTTCGCACGGACATTGAAATATATTTGTAAAATTTAAAATTAGAATTGGGGCAGCACTCGGGAAATATAACCAGTCTCGGATGGCGACTATTAGGTCCAATCCCGCTACGACTTTTTTAAAATAATTAATTTTATTTTTGGAGTACCACTACGCACGGACATTGAAATATATTTGTAAAACTTAAATTTGAATTGGGGCAGTACTCGGGAAATATAACCAGTCTCGGATGGCGACTATTAGGTCCAATCCCGCTACGACTTTTTTAAAATAATTAATTTTATTTTTGGAGTACCACTTCGCACGGACATTGAAATATATTTGTAAAATTTAATTTTGAATTGGGGCAGTACTCGGGAAATATAACCAGTCTCGGATGGCGACTATTAGGTCCAATCCCGCTACGACTTTTTTAAAATAATTAATTTTATTTTTGGAGTACCACTTCGCACGGACATTGAAATATATTTGTAAAATTTAATTTTGAATTTTGACAGCACTCGGGAAATATAACCGCGGAAGTCTCAGAAGTCTCGCTTGAACTGACGGAATCACCCTGCTTTAAAAGCACAATAATCGGATGTGGAAACGTCCGCTTGAACGGACGGAATCGCCTTGTAAAAATTCTTCGCCGTACCACTACGCATATAACGTCGCATATTGTGAAACTCCAAATTTTCTAAATATGAGCGGGCGGGTGGCCGTGACAGCCAGCTGGCTGTCGACGTGTCTTTACGTACACCGTCTTCTTCGGGCGTTGTGTGCGGAGTGCACGGACTTTATCGATGCGTTTTTAATTTCATATATTTCAATATATTATCATACTCCTGTGGAATGGCGCTTGTATCAACATTAACTGTTGATTGTCATTTTGCGATGCCCGCTGACTACCGAAGTTTTTAGCGCAAACCGATGTGGAATGGCGCTTGTATCAACATTAACTGTTGATTGACATTTTGCGATGCCCGCTGACTACCGAAGTTTTTAGCGCAAACCGATGTGCTCGGGCGGAGTGTACAGAGTGCATGGATGTGGAAATTGTATTTTGTATAAACGTTAACGCATTGTTGGCGAGATGATTCTTTAATCTTACAATGGTGCGTACCTTGTTGGTTTGGTCTACGCTTCGGCCACCTGACCGCTCCCCCGTGAGATTTATCTCACGGGGAATTTTTATAAATTCCGTATCGCCGTACCACTACGCGGCGACATGGGTTTTTTTCGGCATGACACTTGGTAGCCACGTGGCCTGACGCACCGGCCGTCGTAATTTTTTTTCAAGTCCGCGTCACCATACCACTACGCACGGACATTAAAATATATTTGTAAAATTTAAAATTAGAATTGGGGCAGCACTCGGGAAATATAACCAGTCTCGGATTGCGACTACTAGGTCCAATCCCGCTGCGACTTAATTAAAATACCTTAACCCTAAAATATTTAAACCAATCTCGCAACAAGTATACGTGCAACATATATGTATAGGATTAGGTATATATTTCGATATTAACACTTTTAGTTATTTTCATGACCATATATTATACAGGACAGAGGAGGGGTGGAGTATTGTTTCTTTTCGCAGTGCTGTCATTGGCTTAGAGCTTTTAGTGGAGGGGGGAAGTGGTGGGGGTAATGGAATTCGGTTGAGGTGGTCGGTTCCGCGGGCGCGCGTAACAGACTCTGTCCAGTGTTAGTATGGTAAGGACGTAGTCCGCTCCTTAAATAAATCTAAGACCTGACGACGTCTGTTAAAAATAAATATATATATATATATATATAAATATATATATTAAGGGGACGGGGGGGGAGGTACACGGGACGCTATGGAGACACGGGATTAAAATTAATATTACAAGTCCGATTACGATGTTGAAGATTTACGTTTTATATGGGATAATGAACAATACACGATTATTACACATGTATCGTCCACCCCCCAACCCCACCTCCAAATTTTTTCACTTTAAGGCAGGAGCAGGGGGGGGGGAATACGTCACACGAATTCGATGTAAATATTTTTCGACAGCGGTTTGAAATACTAGAAGGTACCAAAAAAATGTTAAATGTAATATATATACATAATAATGATAATATTATATTATATGAATTTATTATTGTTTATTGGGTATATTTCTGTACTCATACGTATATATGTATATAAAAGATACTTAGGTAATGTTAATTATACAATTTATATTTATTGTTAAACATTATATATAATAATAATATTCTTATTTTGTTGCGGTTTAACTTGGAAATCTCATCGTAACGCGGCGCATTGGATAGGCAATTCAGGTACATTGATTTTGACCATAATGTAATTTATTTCTACAGCTATTTGAAATACTAGAAGATACTGAAAGAATTATTAAATTATATCAATTTATTATTGTTTATTAATTATATAATTATATTAAATGATAAACATTATAATTAATGATAATATTCTAAAACAAACTCAATAATAAACGATTTTAAAACTATAAAAATACATGTTGTAGATATTTCTCATATTCAATAATATTGGGTTATTTCGTTAATTTTGGTTATTTAAAAAAACCTACACCGTACTCTTAATGTTGGTATACGGTATATATTTTTGTTATTTTACAATAAACGTTTATTTCATGAATTTTTTTGTTTTGCATAAATCTACACAATATTAAAAATAACATCCATAATATAATGTTAACATAATAATAAGAATAACGACAATAATGATGATACTATGAATGATACATATAACACTGATTTGAAGATATTTGGCTTGTGTATGGGTTCTACGGAGTTGTTCGTCAAATTTTCAATAAAACCTCCGCGTTCATTGGCGGTTGGACTCTTCCCTGTTTCTATTACTTGGACGGTTGGCGGGACTGTGCGCATATAACCGGAATCGCTGACTGTTCGGAAAATAGGTGCTTCGGCGGAGACTTCACAACGATATTTTCCGCTGCTTGACAATTCTAGAGTCAATAGTATAACACTTGAGGCGGTGGACTGTTGCTTGTCCACATGAACTCCTGGAACGTCGAACAATTGGACTGCAGGTGAATCACCAGGAATGAATCTATAAAATTCATCCGATTCCTTGTACCATTTCAGGGTGTAGAGAAGCTCATTATCTAATTCATATTTGCAATCTAATCTTGTGCTACTCCCCACGAGAGTTTGTTCATCAACATTGAATTCAGTGAGTCTGACGCAAAATATGTTATCCGCGTACAGAAGTGTGATCAACACATTGAATATGTAACACTGGTTGCAATGCATGACTGGTGGTTGGTTTTTCAAAGTGAATGGACCACACAAACTTTGAAATGTTTATGATTAATATATAAATTATAATATTTCACACATTTCATAGCAGTAAACAGCTGACTGAGTGTGGACGTTGCACAGACTAATGGCATGAAGTGTCACCGGTGTACCACGAAGCCATTGCTCTAGCCTCTAGACTCACATCCGATTTTTATGTTCGAAAAAAATACAATAACATCATGTGTTTATTTATTATTACAATAGATTTCATATTTTTCATGAATCATACATAGTCTGATCATAGTAAATGGTATATATCATATATTAAATGGAGTAAGCACGTGGATTAATATAATATAATATCAAAATAAAAATGTTTATCAATGTTTTATTTATAAAAAGTATAATATAATGAGAATAAAAATAGAAACATCTTAGGTATAATCATAATTTACACAAAATATAATGTTTTATTTATAACAAGTGAAATATAATGTGAAAAAAATACAAACATTATAATTTACAAAAAATATTATGTTTTATTTATAAAAAGTAAAATATAATGAGAAAAAAATACAACATCATAATTTCACAAGGAATCGTGACGTCAACGCGGCGCGCAACATTGCTCTGGTGGCCTGAGGACTTGTGGATTATAGAAGGAAATATAATAATAATAATAATAACTATGGAACCAAAACATTTATAATAGTATAATACTATTAGGAATGAAATACAAACGTCCCAATGTATTGTCTTAATTTACAAAAAAAATATTATTTTTTATTCTTACAAAGTATAATATAATGATAAAAAATTAAAATCTTATTAATAATCATAATTTACAAAAAAATATGATGTTTTATTTACAAAAGTATAATGTTTGTGTATTTCATACTACACGTTTACATTGTTTTATCTTTGGAACATTGTTTTTCGTAGTATTTACCAAACCTTCGGTGACAATGGGTTTCTTATGTCTGCATACTTTGTGCTCGCGGCAGAAGACTGGAGAAGTTGAACATTTGCGGCATTGGGCGCACGTCTTACATAAACGATGTTCTTTCACCAGACTTTCAACAACGCTGTCGTTATTTGATCCCATCATGAGGTATACGTCTTCCCAAGGTATTTGTCGTATACAGTATGTCTTCTTAGGTTTTATAAGTTTTTCGAGTTTTGATGATCCAATGTCATAACGTGTTAAAACCGATACACGTACACATTCGGGCGAACAGGTACACGCACATTCCTTGATGATACGTAAGTAGACATATCTTGGCCATACGCGTTGAGTGTTCAACCGACACAATGAATGTCCACCGGTGTCGAAATCTTTAACTGTAGTTTTTTCAGATATAACATTACAACCAGTGTTTTGCATATTTCCTACTGAATCTGTCTTGTTTGATGTCGTTATGCGTGCTCGTAGGCGAAGGAACATGGTGGGTAAAAAACCGTAATAAATACAAATATTACCACCAATATCACACTCCTTGTAATGATAAGCCAGTAACTGACCTCCGGTAACTCTTGATCGTAGTTTATCACTTGTAATCAGCGGTCTTGAAAAAGTTTGTATGTGTGCGGTTTGTATCCAGTGTTTTTCCAATTTTTCACGTACAGATCTCGGAACACATCTAACGCCATTTGTCGATGATGCGATTACTGTGGTTTTGGTAAAATCTGAACTACCGATGACGTTGACGTTATTATTTGATACTTTCAAATCCGGGAATAGGGGAGATACCTGATCATTAAGTGTAGATTTAATCTTACGCTTTCGCCCACGGTTACGTATTTTTTCTGGTATTTTTTCTTCTATGAATTTAGTTATGTCAAAATTGCTCAGAATGATATAATCATCCATATCTGTGACAAATGTAGGAGCAACTGACATTACGAAATCATATTCGTGTATTCGTATACGAGCACTATTGTACAGACCACTTTTTAGATAATGTTTACTTGTAACTTCCATGACATATATTAGATTTCTTTAAACAACTCGGTTGTCCGTTTGAAATCCCCCACGGACACTGTTTCCAATGCAAATAATGGGTGCGTAATAGCGTAATTTTGTAAAAATCGCAATAATATAACTGATTCTGCGGCGTGCAATGTAGGGTTGTTTATATATTTCTGCAGTATGTCAAATTTAATTAAACCTACTTTACGGACATGTTCAAAAAGGTGCCTGGGAAACAGGTCGTATTGTCTTCGGGATTTGTAAAATGATAATAACGCTCGACGTAAGCACATTATTCGGACATCTTCCGAATTCAATATATTTTGTTCACAAGTACACACATTCCCAGTTAGTGACAATGACATGACTACACTATATACTACAGCATTACATACTTTTATATAATATAATATTCAAAATTTTATGAGTGATATTATGTACATTTGATTGTTTTGTTATTAATTAGTAGTTATTAATCCATATCGATCACTGAAAATATACAGTTGCACCATACTCCGTCCAACTTGATGTTTAATATTTCACCCAAAATATTTTTATCGTATTTATTTACTCTATTGGCATTAAACCGCAACACTGCGGGTGTTTTCTGCAGCGACATTTGATAATCGAATTTGAGGTTAGACTTTTTTAAAATCGTATATATAACATTGCATAGGTGATTGTCTATTAACAGTATCGATCTCTTTATAGAATTTTTTCGATTTAAAAATCGAATTAATGGACTAGTGTCGTATCCAGAGTCCAACCTCAGTACTAATGTTTCCAAGTGACCGTCTAATATTTTAGAATCGAACAAACTCCCCGTAGCTACATCATAACTGGTTGATAGGTGTCGTAATTTCATATTTCTATCTTTGGCACACTCCTGTGTAAACCATTCATCAGGTAAGTGCCAGTTGTGTTGTATATGCACGATGTCACAATCGTAAAATATATGCAACCATGTATTTGGCAAGTGTTGTATGAGTTCACCATCAATATTACAAGCCACCGTGTTTTGTTTTCCATATTTAGTACCGTGTTGGAAAAAATCCAATACGTTGTACCATCTGGACAATGTGCACGTTACATCATTGTGCAGTACTTTATTGACTTCTGTCATTTTCAAATATTTTGCAATTTTAAAACGAACATTGAACGGTAAAAACGACACTATACGTTCTTGTAATTCTTTGGGCAATGCGCGTAGATTCAAATCGAGTTGTTTGAAGTTGACGTTGTGTGATGACGTCTGTGTATCTTTGATAATCGACTTTAAAGGTACCCTATCGACGGGTCGTATCTTTTTCAACGATGTGATTGTTATTATTTCCGAGTCGTCATCTGAACGATAATAAACATCAGGTGAATTCTTTTGAGATACCACACCTACTAAATCAAAAATATCTTTCCATACATTTATACAATTTTCATGATCATTACATGTGATGATATGTGGGTATTTTTTTTCGTTTACGTTTAACATTAAGGTCATTGATTTTTTTATGAAACGATATTTAAAATTACAATTACACTCACGCATCAGTCTCAACATAATACGACTGCTTGCTGTTTTTTGACGTATAAGCACTTTTTGTAAAATATTTATATTTCTGTTTATATAACCGCTCAATTCCGTTGTGTCTGTATCACACGTAATATGCACGGACAATGTTTTTAATCGACCGTCAAAAATACCAGAACCCAATAAAGACATTGTAAACTCACCCGAGTGCTGAAATATCATGTGTTCTGTGGTAAAACTTCCACGATCGTCGACCGTCATTTGGAGGTGCTCCAAAAAAAGTCCGAAGGAATATTTGTATATCTTGTATTTTGTTAATTCGTGTGGAGGATTAAAATCAACCACACCGATTATGTGATTCATCAAAACATGTAGCAGGCTCGTTGGTTTATCCTTTATTGTCACTGAACACATACTAGTTACATTGTGGTGTACTACATCTAGTGAAATTTTTTTTTTTTCTTTGTCGTAGAGTCGTTTTTGAATTGTTTACGTTTCATTATGTTAAAAGACGTTGAAATTTGACGAATGTCACGTTTTGCACTAACCAATATGAATGTACAGACTGTAATATTTTCTACCTTCACGTAACACTGATACATACAGTTCTGTCACGCACGAATGGGGTTTATTTTATATATACTATGAAAAGACATACACACACACACACACACACACACACACACACACACACGCGCGCGCGCGCGCGCGCGCACAAGTGATATAATATCCAAATACGTTACGGCCACCGTTGTTTTAAGATTTTTTGTCATCATGGTTTTTATTATTAACAAAAAAAATGAAAAATGAAAAATAAATATATATATATATATATATATAAACTTGTTATTTATTTAACCGTATGTTATTTCACATACCTAACATTATTCCATCATTATCGTTGTAATTATCATTACCGTTTCTTGTTATTATTACCAACGACGGTATTACGATAATACGAGAACCTGCATGCGGGCTTTGTAATTATCGTCACATTCTCCATTGTAAAAAATGAGATAAGTTTCCACTTCAAAGAAATATATTTATATAATTATAGTTATATAGTTCACTATATTTCCTTGAATTTGGATAGGTAAAAACATATACAATATGTACCACTATATTTCCTTGAAGTGGAAACTTATCTCATTTTTTTTTGTTATCATAATTATTATTATTAATCGTTTACGTTCGCTGAAACTTCTTCGATGTATAGTAATATTATTCATACTTAATATTATTTATACTAATAAATCAAAATATGTCTATATGGCTATGCTTATACATATCGGACATGAGAAAATGAAATTATGATTAAGATAATGATGATGAATAAATGTTATACTACTTAAAAATCACGTGAAAGGGGTGACATAAAGTTAGCTAGAAAAAAATCTTGAATCCAGGGTAAAAAACATATACATATATGTTCAAAACATAATATTTATTATTAATGAACGATAATGATATTATAAAGACATATCAGTTATACAGAGGTCTCATATCCTGAAAATGGTTGTTGTACATGTTTACCTAAGGCTTCATGACGTGTGACATGTCTACCTTGCACCCCTGGGTAAGTTTCATATAATTTACGTATAATCGCGTAAAGTTCTGTGAACGCATCAATCCCATATACCTACTCTCTTTTGCTTTTGTTCGCTTTTCAATTTCATATCATATTTTGATTGGCCAGCCACAGACAATATCCCAAACGTTTCAGTATCCGTAACGAATAGTTCTTGTAGAACTGCGACGTTTAATTTGGTCAAGTTTGGTTTGGTGAAATATGACTGTATTTCTGAATCGAGATCACGTACGTTTATGGGTGTGCGTAAATCTAAGTTGTCAGTACAAAATTTAATTTCAATAACCGAATCGGTAATCGTAGTAACATCTATTGGTTTACAAATATCGGATTCATTATATTTCGTTATCAGTGATTGTTTCAAACCTTTCAAACGAAACACTATACCTTTTGTAAAACCATACCACGATTCAATGTTTAGAATATTTGACGAGTTGGTTATGAGTTCGTAAATAAGCGTATACATTTGTTGTTTGTACACACGGACGTTACCGGTTTTCATTATTACAATGAGTATATATTCTTTTCTAAAATCTTCAACAGTATCGTGCCTAGTACATTTTTTGTAAAATTTTGGATCTTTATTACGAATATATGTCATGAGCGTATCTATCGTATGAGTGGATTCTTTTATTTTCCGTGAGTAAGACGGGAACAACACATTTTAATTTTTAAACTGTATAGGTTAAAGTTTTGAGTACCTACTTATAACTATAATATATTTTCTCCTTTCCTGTAACAAAAAAACATAAAACATTTAAATTTTAATTACTCTTTCTAACACAATTATTATCACATAAAGATTAGTTGACACTTATGAAACACTTATGAAAAATTGAATTTTAAACCATACTGAGGAATTCCCAAACTTTGGGATGTGGTTTAATTAATCTTAACAATGAAGCATGATAACTCTCAATGTAGTTATTTGTCCTTATTTCCTGATTATATACTGAGACATTTTCAGGGCTCATCGTCAGAAACCAATATCTCCAAATATAATCAATTAAAAAATTGTTTAGTTTCACAGCTAAATCAGGGAATTGGTTCACATATTTTATAACTTCATTGGAACCATCTTCCATTGACGGTAAAGCATCAATTCTTGTGGCCGGTAAGTATGGCAAAGCTAAAATCTATGCATAAATAATTTAATTATCTCATTTATATTTAGTAATATTAATTATTTACCATTCTTAGTATACAAATTGCATTCAAATTTGATGTTATTAAATGAAAAATTTGAGATTTTTTAACTCTAGTGTACCGTATGACTGCCTATAAATATTACTTATTATTAATAATATATTTTTTCAGATTCAACAAAAAGGAAGCTACTATTTACCTGGCAAAAATGAAAATAACATCCTTGGGTTTTGCTCTCCGGAAATACTATTTTTGCAGCATTAATTAGCCCATACTCATAATCTGTTATTATGATTAAATCGGCATAATTCAATGGTAACACACTTCTGACGTACCTCAGAAGTTGTTTGTAAATATCCTTTGTTTTGCCTGTGAGGATAGCATGAACTAGTGGGAAGCTCTGTACAACAAAAATAGTATGTATATTATTAAACTGGATTATTGTATAATGATTGAATAAATATTAACAAACTTACAACGTTTTTGAACAGGATATGGAATGAAAATATCTGATAAGCATCATTATCCAAAAATGTTGGTACAGTTTTGAATGTCCCGTCACAACCCGCTACACGGACCTAAAAAAGATAGACAGAATTGTACACAAAGTAATTTATATTGCATTTACATACATTTCTTAAATTTTGTTTGATTTTCTGTATATGAGCTATGTTGCAAAACAGGACACCTTTAATAACTCCATTCACAACCAATGGGCCTTGATAAAATCTATGCATAGGTTATTATTAAATAGATTTAATTTATTCAATTTAAATTTGTAATCAAATTGTATTTTACTGTAATTTTTGTAATGTTAGTGTAAACATTTGGTTTTCATCATTGCTAAGCAAATTGTGGAACTCTAAAATATTTTGAGGTGTTGCTGGGAACATTCCTTGTCGCAATCGCCTCATTCTTTCTGCACACTGAACGAAGGTATAATTATTTGCAGCTTCTGGAAAACTATTGAGTAAAAAAATAAGATTCAAACATATCAGAAAGGTATTTGTAACCTTACCTAAATTGTTAATCATAAAACCTAATATAAAATTACTAATATTTGTTTTATTTTTTAGACAAAGATAAATATGAATACCAACTTCACAATCGATTCCATGTATATACCACGAGGCACATATAAATTTACAGTTTTTATTAAAGCCTTTTCTGTAATGTGTTGTCGAAGGAATGGAACATCAAAGTTGTATGGTTTTACTGGATGACTATGTTGATTTGACATCTTAAGACTTTTGTTTTCTCGATCTGATGATATGACTGCAGTTCCCCCACATTCCCCCTTTTTTTTTCCAAGCATGCCAAATAGCTAAACAGTTACAATCATAAGTCATAAGGTACTGTATAACTTTAAATTAATAGTTTTATTTAAATGTATTTTAAATTTTAATCTCACATTTTATTTTCAGTACTTTTGTTTTTGTAGTACATATTACCCAAATTGTCACAGATTATTTCTGTGTTCCTTTGTGTACCAGGAACTATGGTGCAACTATGTGGCTGGACATTGGGCATAGGAAGAACAGAGAGTACTTGTTCTTGAGGTTCTACTATCATATATACAGATAAACAATTGAGTACATACCTTACAGTTATTATTGGGTTTAATTCAATACAATGTCATGCAATTAACTATATAATCAACTTACCAGCTTCATTTTGAATTCTACAGTAATCGTGATCATGATTTACAATATCTAAAAAAACATATAACTTTTAGTATGTCTAGGACTCAAAATGAATGGATTGGATATTGAATATTGATTTGGAATTTGGAATGAAGTACCCTACATATCAAAGGTGGGCAAGTAATAACTCAAGTTCAGTTAAGAGAACACAAAATCTTTAAGTTAGAAGTTTATTTTTTATTTATTGAACTTTAATCTTAATATCTATTGTGCAATGTATATACCTATTTTAATTTACTTGAATAATTAAACAAATATCAATTTTATAGAGAAAAATAACAGACATTTTTGTATTGGGTTGTTTTGACTCGACTTTTTTAACTAATTAGTGACCACTTTTTGACTAAATACTTAAACTACTTTGGGATTTCAGCAATCAAAGGAAGTTGTTAAATACATACCACATTCCACAGTAATAGCTTGTTCTAGAGACATCGTTCAAAATTAAAATCTAGAAAATCACAGAAAATGAAAATTCAATTAAAAAATCTAGAAAATCACAGGAAATGAAAATTCAAAAATCCAGAAAAGTAAAGAAAATGTTCTTAATTTAACCTTATAATTTAATAAAAAACCTGTATTATATTATATGATGATAATATTTATATATAAATATTTATATTATGTCTATATAACAATTAAAATGTATACCGACTTTTGTATGTAATGGTTGGCAACGCTTTTTGGTTTTCGAACTGTTATCAGTCGTCAGCTCCTTATCATTTTTCGGACAATCTGCTGATCTCCCGCATATTGGACAGTTACCTATATTAGTATATTTCTTCCAAGCAATTCCTTAGTTACATTTGACAAAAACACGACACACATGGGAATCGCCAAGGTCTGACACGCACTCTAGTGGTATACATTTTAACTAATGCAACTGGGCATGTTTGTTCAAATATTATTATAAATAATAAACAATTCTTTTAAGTTCTTGTGTTTACTGTTTAGTTAACAATATTAAGTACCTCTACTTGAATTTATTAATAAAACTATCTATTGTTAATATTATGTGTACCAGGTACCTATATTGTAATTAAAACTTATCGAAGTAATAAGTATGGAAATCGATCGTGAAAGTGATGGTCAAGGTAATCAAATAAATCACAAGAATTTTTAAAATTTAGATTATCATTTATTTTATGGGGTTTATCCATAACTGAAGACACTTGTCGCAAAAATACGAATATTCATTTCGTTTTTATTAATGTAACCATAATTAATAATGTGCAGACATATTTCTAGTGGTCGGAGTAGCCTTACAAAACCTATACATTTCCAAGGCTGAGCATTAACGATCTCTGATTTTGTATTTTATTTCAAATAATTGTATTAAAAAAATTTGAAAAAAATGATTTTTATCTTGTATTTTTTTAAACATATTGTTAACTTCTCCAGGGGAAATAACGTCAAGAATCTAGCCGCCGGACCGGGAATCGAACCCGAGTCTCTCGCTTGCCGAGCGATCGCTCTACCACTGAGCTACCCGACCACATAGACCTATGACGCTATCTCCCCAAGTTAACGGGAGTTTACAATATTATATAATGTTTGAGAATAAAATATTGAAAAACAGAGATCGATGAGGGCTGTAGAATATTTCCCTCTGGTAATTAAAAAAAAA